CTGTATGTATATATATATATATATATATATATATATATATATATATATATATATATATATATATATATATATATATATATATATATATATATATATATATATATATATATATATATATATATATATACAGACAGTTGGTCCTCATATTAGCGGTCCCGCATTCGCGTTTCACGTTAGCGGTGCCTTGCCAGAACCTAACATTCTTACATTCATGTCGCCAGCACGCCATTCACGCGGAGAGTGTCCGCCTGGCGCTATTTTTAGATTTTCCCCAGCGCCCGCCCGCCCGCCTGCCTCCTCTCCTCCTCCTCCCTCCGGCAAGCGGCCGTAAGATTGCGCAGTGTGTGTCTTTGTTGCGTAATCACTGGCGTCATATGATATCAGACCTGTGATTGCATGCATCCCTACCCTCTCTGCTGCTAGCTGTAGTGGCTTAAGTATTATGGCGTGTCCACCGGGGAGGGAGGGAGGAGGAAAGCGCAACCCACAGCCAGCCCAGTGATAGTGACAGTGAAGTTGACTTTGAGGGATTTGTCAGGAAGCCCTGACAACTGTAAGTGACAGTGATGATGATTCACCTAGTAATGGTGATTCACCTGAGGGCAGTAATCTGCCCTCTGCCTCGGAACCAGCCTCCATCCCCGTATGCCGCCCATCTCTTCTACTACCGTAAGTGTTACACAATTTTTAGTTTTCTAACCTAACCTTTATTTTTCCAATGTTAACCTTTATCTTTCCTAACCTAACCTCTTCTATATTACTTGTTTTTTTCATACCATCATAAAGTTAAGATAAAATTTTACTACAACATAGTTGTGTTAGTAGTCAAAAAGTGGGTTTGGGGATCGGCCTGGACTCCATTCAATTAATCCCATATGTTATGTTGTTCACTACAGCGTTCCTCACTTTCCATGGACCCTCCAGGTTACATTACCATGTAATATGAGGACCAACTGTATATATATGTATATATATATATATATATATATATATATATATATATATATATATATATATATATATATATATATATATATATATATATACACCTAGACCGACTTACGACGGGGTTAGGGACCCAAATCCAGGTCATAGTCCGACATAGATAAAAAAAAAAAAAAAATTTTTTTTTTTTTTTTAATAAAAATCTACAATGAAAACAGTACAGCAAAAGTAATGAATAATGATGAATGGATACAGTACAGTGAAATTAATAAATAATAAGGAATGGATACAGTGTGACTGAGCACTTAACCTTTAATGTAGTCAGCTGAATGCACATGGGGCTATAATTTTCTAATTATACATGGAGACTACATTAACTGGAAACGTTTCGGTATAGAAAATGGTGTCATTTAAATTTTTTTTTTTTTTTTTTTTATCTATATCTGAGGCAGTCGTAAGTCCCGACGGTCGTAAGTCAATCAAAGTACCCCACCTTGCCTCCCCCCCTCTTCCAACCGCGCGGTCAGTCCCAACCCTCCCCCCCACCCCCCACCAATCCTCCCTTCCAGAGTTTTTAACATTTAGTATTAAATAATACCTCAGATTAAAGTTAGGATAATATAATTGACATTGCTGGATTCCTTGTAAGACCAGGAATATTTTGAATATAAATGTCATATATTTTGCACAAAAGATAACATAGTTACCTAGAGAAAAATTTTTATCTAAAATTTGTATGTTTAATGCAAAATATATGATGTTTATATTCAAAATGATCACCAAATTATAAGAATTCCAGCAATGTAAATTATATTCTGACCGGGTAATTTGTATGAATTTTATGAGCTAAAACAAATATCTTCAGTTAATAAAAAAAAAAATAATTCTTCACGGGGTAACAGATGGTCGGTCGGTCCCTCCCTCCCCCCACCCCCCACCAACCGTCCCAAGGAGATGTGTGGGATAACCACTAAATTTTAATAAATAATACCTCAAACTAAAGTTAGGATAATATAATTGACATTGCTGGATTCCTTGTAAGACCAGGAATATTTTGAATATAAATGTCATATATTTTGCACAAAAGATAACATAGTTACTCTGAGAAAATTTTTATCTAAAATTTGTATGTCTAATGCAAAATATATGATGTTTATATTCAAAATGATCACCAAATTATAAGAATTCCAGCAATGTAAATTATATTCTGGCTGGGTAATTTGTATGAATTTTATGAGCTAAAACAGGCAGTCAGGCAGGGTGGCGGGTGGGGCAAATCTAAAAATAGCGTCTCGAGCCGGACACTCACCGCGTATATGTGGAAAAAATCCGTGTTAAGTGAAAGTTCAGCTCTGGCGAGGCACCGCGTATATGATAAAACGCGTTAAGTGAAACCGCGTTAGGCGGGGTAATACTGTAGTAGTAGTAGTAGTAGTAATAATAATAAGTAATAATAATAGTAATAATAGTAATAATAGTAATAATAGTAATAGTAATAATAGTAATAGTAGTAGTAGTAGTAAAAAATAAACATAATAAAAATAATAATAATAATAATAATAAAAAAAATAATAATAATAATAATGATTCACCTTTTTTTCAATTGCAATTGAACAATGTTACTTTTGGTTTCAACATCTTCGAATGGAATCAACATTCTTACACTTGATTAATAACAATCTTTACTTTCCGTTCAACAATCATCCAAAACTTTTCAACAGTCGTTCAATACGTGACAATGTTTACTTGCTTCAACAATCGTCTCATTCTTCATTGACAATTCACTAATACTTTCAACATTTTACAAAACTAAGTAACAATCTTTAAAACATCATAACTATGCAAAAAGTTTGTTTTGGTGTTTTTCGTAGATCGAAAGACTAGTTGATCTAATTCGAACTTTTGAAGCAAGTAACGAATCACCGAGTCGAGATGGTGTGCTACACACTCAGTATTTTCATTACGAGTGTGCAGCTTCTCCCGTATACAGTTCGTCGCCGAGCCCCTCCAGCATGCCATGGAGGCACCGAATAACAAGTGCTACAGATCGCGAGCGCATTATCGAGGCCTACAGAGCCGAACAAGATTTCCTCGTAGTTGCAGCAGCCCTTGGAGTTCAGCGCACCACGGCATACTCCATTGTGCGAGTATACCAACACGAAAACAGGGTTGAAGCGGCTCACGCAGGAGGCAGACACAAGATCATCGACAATGAAACTCTGGATCTAACAGTGATGCTGCTTGAAGCAAACCCTATGATGACTTTGACGGAGATAAAGGAGGTGGTCATGGATAAATTTCCTATAAAACCACATTTCAGTGAGGTAACGCTTTCGCGTTATTTGGATGGGGAGCTGATATCACTGAAAATGTCCCGTGACTCCCCAGCAGAAAGAAATTCTCCCACAGTAAAGGAGGCGAGGCACGCGTACGCTACGTGGATGCTGGCGACGGGTCTACAGCAGCAACTAGTATACATTGATGAGACAGGTATGTAATTATGTAACCACTTATCAACTATCTGTAGTATGTACTACATAATTACTTAAGTAAACTGTATGTAACGAGTGAGTACTTAATATTGATCTCAGTTTGATGCATCGTACAACTTTCCTTGTGTTAATGTTTAATTACATTACAGTATGACTACATACACTGATGTTTCATTTCCAGTGTTCAATCTGTGGACCAAGAGGACGTACGGCAGGGCAAGACGCGGGGAGCGTGTGCATCGTGCCGTTGGTGGACAGCGTGGCAGAAACACGACAGTGATTGCTGCGATAGCTGAACACTGTGGAATACTCTATCACGAAATTCACTATGGTTCAGTGACGAAGGAAGTATTCAGTGATTTCATCCCATCACTTGCAGCAATAATCGGAGACGCAAGATCCATACATGTTCTAGACAACGCTCCAATTCACAACGGTATCGCAGCAGTCTATCCCGAGCTGAATTTTAAATTTCTCCCTCCATACTCTCCTTGCTTGAACCCCATAGAAAACTGTTTCTCTGTGTTTAAATCATACCTGAAGCAGTACCTCCACCGTGAAGCTCCACGGTGCAACGCGGCCCACGCCAGGCAAGAAGGAGTGACTCTCAATGCACTGAGGGAGAAAATTTTGCAAGTTGGCGTGGAATCTGCACTGCCTACTGTCACGGAACATGTTGTGTCGCAGAACTATAACCATGTCAACACCTACTTGGTTCAATGTATTGAGTGCCGAGATAATCTTCAATTGATATACAGTAGGTCTACAGTAATAGAGTATAACCTTCTGCCTTACCGTTTGTTCCTCTTGAAACAATTCACAACAAAAACCTTCTATACACTCGTGGGTTCTTTTTTACCTGACAGGTTAATATTCGTGAGGCAGAGGAGGAAGGCAAGTCAACGGGATGCTGATATGACACTCCTCTCCCCAATCCCACTACCCCTCTCACCCTCACCTACCTCCATCCCTCACCTACCTCCATCCCTACCTTACAGCCAGGCAGAAACAACCCACCAAGGTGTACGAGGCCTTTACTGTGAATTGCTTCGTGGAAGTATCATGACACCAAGCTATTAGTATAAGGCCCTTTTTTCTTTGTTTCATTTTAAGCAATCGTATGTTTTATGTGGCTACTACATACTAAAGACTAAAGACATTACATAATTACATATGTTTATACCAGAATTCGTTGTGTTGTTGATGTTTGTGTAAGTATACTCAAAAATTAAATATTCATGGCTGTTACTGATTTTAAAGATTGTTGAATAAATTCTTTTCAATGATGATTGTTTCAGTCGCATTGTTGAAAAGTTTGGTTGACTGTTGAAAGCAATCGGAGATATGTGGCTGTTGAAAGGTTTTGTAAATTGTCAAATCAAAATAACTGATTGTTGAATGGATTCGGAAAATAGTTGAAAGCAAATAGAAATTTGTCATTCCAAAATCTTGATTGTTAAAGGCAAGAGGTCAACTGTTCAATTGCAAATGAAAGAAGGTGTAATAATAATAATAATAATAAAAATAATAATAATAATAATAATAATAATAATAATAATAAAAATAATAATAATAATAATAAAAATAATAATAATAATAATAATAATAATAATAAAAATAATAATAATAAAAATAAAAATAATAATAATAATAATAAAAATAAATAATAGTCATAATAATTCATAATAAATAAAATTTATGATAAAACAAACAAAAATTAAATAATAAAATGATGATAATAATACAGTAACTGTAATAATAATAATATTAATAATAAAGAACTATAAATAAAAAAATTAAAAAAAAGATCAAAAGTGAGAAACAATATACTGTATATGTTGTGTTGTCAATGGTAAGAGAAACAATTGAGACCCTGCAATTGCATGTAAATGAAGCAGAAAGTCAGATCAGCAACCTGGGACTTGGTCACAATTTTCGTGATGCCATATGGCAGCAGAGTCTACCATTAGACAACACATTATGCTTCCAATATCTTCCCAGGCGGTAGTACCTCCCTGTTTGGTAGCTGATGAGGAACTCCAGTAAATCATCAACTGGGACCTTTGTAAAGAGTGATGTTACATAAAAACTGACCAGTTTAAAATCATAATTAATGTGTAAGTTATTGAGTTTATCAACCAGATCCATATTATTCTTAATATTAGAGTTAGAAATGTTGCCAACTAGGGGATTTAGTAAAGTAACTAGCCATTTAGATAATTTATAAGAGATTGACCCAACTGCTCAAAAATTTGGTATGGCAATGGGTAATCCACTCTCACCTGTATTAAGCAACCTATATATGGAATTCTTTGAAAAGAAACTACAGTATTACCCCGTGTAGCTTTACATGGTTTCACTTTCCGCGATTTCTCATTTACGTGGTACCTTGCCAGAACCGGACTTTCACTTTCCGCGGTGCATCTACTCATATACGCGGTGAAGTATAATTTTTTTTTTTATTTAGCTCATAAAATTCATACAAATTACCCGGCCAGAATATAATTTACATTGCTGGAATTCTTACAATATGATGATCATTTTGAATAAAAACATCATGGATTTTCCATTGGACATACAAATTTTAGATCGACTGTAATAATTTGGTTTACACAGAGCAAATATTTTATCCTTTGTGCAGAATATATGAAGTTTACATTCAAAATATTCCCCGACCTGCAAGGAATCCAGAAATGTCAATTATATTATCCTAACTTTAGTCTGAGGTATTATTTATTACTAAAAGTTAAAATCTAGTATTTTCTCCCAACATTTCTCTGGTAGGGAGGGAAGGTGGGGGGTGGGGGGTGGGGGGGAGAGTTGGGACCGACCGACCCAGCTGGCGTGAGTGTGAGGAGGGGAGGAGGCAAGGTGGGGTACTTTGATTGACAGATAGTGTCGTGAAGAATATTTTTTTTTTTATTAACAAGATATTTGTTTTAGCTCATAAAATTCATACAAATTACTCGACGAGAATATAATTTACATTGCTGGAATTTTTACAATATGATGATCATTTTGAATATAAGCATCATGAATTTTGCATTAGACATACAAATTTTAGATCTAATGTAATAATTTGGTTTACACAAAGCAAATATTTTATCTTTTGTGCAAAATATATGAAGTTTACATTCAAAATATTTCCTGACCTGCAAGGAATGCAGAATTGTCAATTATATTATCCTAACTTTAGTCTGAGGTATTATTTATTACTAAACGTTAAAATCTAGTGTTTTCACCCAATCATTTCTCAGAGAGGTAGGAGCTAGTGAGCTGGGAAGAGGGGGGGGGGGGATTTGAGTCCATTATTTGAATGGACATTGACCTGGCGACTGTATTTCTCTTAAATATGAATTGTGTGAGCATACCATCATAAAATTTAGATGTTATTTTTACTACAACATAAGTATTGTCGGAAAAAGTGGAGTTTGGGGATCGGGCCAGTCTCTATTGGAATTAATCCCATATGTTCTGTTGTTCACTTTACGCGGTTTTCACTTTCCCACTTTCCGCGGTTTTCACTTTCCCTCTTTCCACGGTACCCTGTGGGTTCAATTGACTGCGTAAATCGGGGTACTACTGTGTGTGTGTATATATATATATATATATATATATATATATATATATATATATATATATATATATATATATATATATATATATATATATATATATATATATATATATATATAGTAATGAGGACCTAAAAGCTTTCCTGCCACAACTTAATAACTTAGCCCCCTCGATCAAATTCACTGTAGAATTAGAGCATGACTGTAAATTGCCTTTCCTAGACTGTCTGATCCACAGAATAGGTAACACCTTTAAGTTCAGTATTTATAGAAAACCTACTAATGTGTGTTCATACATTCATTATTATTCTGTCCACCATAACAGAGTCAAACAGTCAGTATTTTCAACAATGTTTTTACGTGCTTTGAGAATTTGCAGCCCGGAATTCATTGATGAGGAATATAAATATATCTATAATATTGGCCCAAACCTTAAATACCCTAGATCTTTCATAGACAAATGCCTGAACATTACTAAGAAATCTTTTTATAGAACTCCCAAGCCCACCCATGACCATAAGAATCTCTTAGTATTACCATTTCACAAAAAATTCTCTCAAATTCCTTTACAACTAAAAACCTGGAACGTCAATGTGGCATTTAAAAACTCATGCACTGTTAAACAAATGTTAATCAAGAACTCCCCCAACAATACAAATGGCTGCATTTATAAAGTCCCTTGCAAGGAATGTAATATGTTTTACTTGGGCCAGACAGGTAAAGATCTTGTAACTAGACTTAAACAACATAAATATAGTGTTAGGACAGGCCAGGAATCCAATGCTCTGTTTGTTCATTTGAGGGATCATTGCATTGACTGGGATAACTCACCCCTGAAGATGTGAATTACACGAAAGCGCTTGGGAACTTCGTGTTTTCTTTTTCCTTGTGGTTATCAGCATATATATATAAATATAAATATATTTATATATATATATATATATATATATATATATATATATATATATATATATATATATATATATATATATATATATATATATATATATATATATATATATATATATATATACACACACATACACACACAAAAAGAACACATACAGTAGGCTCTCACCAATAACGTTTAATATGTGCCTGAAAAACACCGTTATTGGCGAAAACGTTATTTGTGTGACATTAAAATACATGTAACAAGGGTTTATTGGTGCCGCCGCCACAAGAATTTCACCCATTTTTTCCCCTTGAAGCCCTCCTAACACTTTTTGTTAGCTGAAATAAAAAGAATTGTTATTCAATCATCAAAATAAAGAATTTGAGTAATATAACACTTAGTTTTTGAGGTGCTTGGTGTGATGATTGTTCCGTATCTGAGGGCAGCTAACACTTGCACTGTCTTTCAGTCTACAAGCTAACCATTTCACAAGATAATGCTCTGTTATCACTAACAACCTGTTTCTATCGCCTTTATCATTCATAGCTCGCCTCGCATTTCCATCACTACCGAAATATTTTTAGCCAGCGCAATACTCTTCTTGGTCTCCTCTAAGTTCCTCTTAATATTTTGCACTGTAGACTCAGGACAGTTCAATTTCCTCACTTTAAAAGTTCCCAGTCATTCAGGTGGCAAATCACTCCCTCCACCACCTCCCCTAGCCCCCACAGGCAAAAATGCGGAAGCCATTATTGATCACCGACCCTAACAACCACTGGTTATAGTGGCGAAAATCTCACACGTGGGCGCAGTGCTGTATTCCACTGAGCGTGTGTGACAGTGAGGCGGAGTGGACAACTACGTCATCAACATGGTGGCAAACAAATGCTATCATTGATGCGCTCGGACGCTTCCCGCGTTTTTTCCGTTATTCAAGAGATTCCAGAAGTTATTATCGAAAATGGGTATCTATTGTATCTTACCGTTATTGTCGAAAACGTTATTGTGGAAGTCGTTATTGGCGAGAGTCTACTGTACAAATAAATAATAATGGGAAAATCCTCTCACAAGTAATCAGAAACAAATTTATTAAAAATGTGAGTTTACCCTCAAGTTTACTCGGTGCTTTGTTAATACTGTAACAAAGCACGGAGTAGATTTGGGGGTAGCCTGTCACATTGTTATTTATTTGTATGTGCTTTGTGTCTACACACACACACCACATATATACAATACAGGTAAAAGAAATCATTGTCCTAAGGGCAAACACATAAAGGGAATACTGTATACATTTCTTTGTACGTACACAAGTAAAGATGTACCCCCCTCCCCTGATCAGCAAATGTTATTTGCGGATTTTGCGATTTGCTGCCATTTTGAGAACCTAACCCCTGCGAATTTGAAGGGCATGCTGTACACTGTATACCTGTACAGTACCTGTATATAAACACACTGTATTGTATATATTTTCCTCAGAATATAACTAGAACATTTAAATAAGAACACCACCACACTCAGCTGTGAATTCAAATAAATTATATAAATGGCAGGAGTCATTGGTGTGCCACCAAAACATTATCAGCCAACCGGCGAAACTACAAGACACTGCCGCGCGATGGGAGGTTTGTCGGGTAGTAGAATTTTTGTTCATTACCATCTGACCGCACCTTTCTTTAGAAGGTTTGCTGGGTAAAGGAATTTCCAAAAACAGTCCTTTTTTTGGAGTAGCCATATGTTTGAATGAAGGATATGGGAGCTTCAATCTGTATAGGTACTAGCATTTCAGCATCGTGTAATTAAGATTCATTTTAGGCAT